AGGAGCCGAGATCTATATAAACCTATATGTCAAATTTCGTCAAAATCGGATACAAATTGTGACCTGTAGAGTGTTCACTAATAAATCGTGGACGGACGAACAGGGGCGACGCTAATGTACGTCCATATGAAAATGTGGGGTTATTAACATTTAACGATAAAATAGATAATCGAGAGTAAGATCACAAGGTGTATCATTGGGTCAAATGGCGTGGTTTCGATTGCTCGCTTCTACGTGGTAAGGATTAGAGCCGCCTGTAACCGCCATGTGTGTGACCTAGTTTGTGTCGAGTGGACATTCATCTCCATTTCACTCTTATTACGTTAACCTTTGTTGAGTTATACATTCTGGAACGGACAGAAGGGAACCTATGCTTGTAGCGCCGATATTGAAAATATGCCTCATTCGGGTGAAACACAAAATGTACACTTTGCAGCTGGAATTTCAGAGAGGTGCAGACCTAAGTTTAAAAATTTCGCTCTTTGCATTGAATGCGCTACACTCTAATGCTAAACATGATTTTCACTGGCCTCAACATGGTAAGATCTATTTCTTAAGGCCACCTCAAAGTTTCGTCATAGGTTATGCGAATCGGGAAACGTCATAGGTCACGAGGGAAAACATGTCCGACTCAATGACGTCTATACTGTTAACAAATCGTAAAATTTCTATTTACAGATGTCTAAGTAACGTGCAATCAAACCCTGGTTTGGCCAATCAAGTATTAGACATATTAGACATATTAAAAGAACCAGCGGCTGCCAGGCAAGATACACCCACATTTTTCAAGAGTTGGATAGAGAACACGCTAAAAACAAACGCGATGTTTTGTACAATCATGGGCAATAATCCAGAAAGTTATGGTCTGAAATGCGCAAATATCAAAAGAGACTGAGATCTTAGGGAAGATATGTTTAAGTTTCATAAAAATTGTTACCTCAAAAAGAGACTGGGATCTTTGGGATATAAAGATATGTTTTAAGTTTCATCAAAATTGGATAACAATTGTTACCTCTAGATGGTCCACAACCTTCGTATTACAACCTTTTACACAATTTGCATACAAAGAGCGGCCATTTTGTTGGGCAGTAACATTTCAATTTTCCTGAAATTCGAATTTAACCTTCATTATGGTGGAATGGTGATATATTTAAATGGTTTTTAAAATAGGAAAAGAAATTATGCGATTTTTCAAACAATCAGGGGCCATAAACCAGGAAGTTACGTTCGGATAAGCGCGATTATTAACAGGAACCAAGATCTTAGTGTGTAATGGTGATATATTCACACGTCTTTCACATCCGATAAAAATTGTGACCTCTAAAGGGACCACAAGCTAAAAACGTGATTTTTTTGAAAAAATCAAGGACCATAATTCAGGAATTTACGATCCAATATGCGCGAATATCGATTGGAACCAAGATCTTTGGGTTATCAACATGTATTTCAGGTTTTATCAAAATCGAATCAATATTGTGACCTCAACCAACATTACGGTGTAACGGTGATATATTCAAACTTTTTGTTAAAGTTGCAATTTCATATTTTTAAGTTATATTTTTAAAATGTATTAAAATAAAGCCTTAAAATAGATGGTATCTATAAACAGTCCTACCTTGTTAAAGAATAATCCTATTAATCCTATAATTCACTACTGCCAGTTGAGAATTTTGGCAAAAATATCATTTTCAACTTCAAATTCAAGCGTTTGAAGATAGCTATTCCATGGGGAGAATAGAAAAACAAGGGAGGTAATTGTGTTATTATTTCCGGAGTCAAGGATTTATAAGTGGGAGAATGATACCTATGATCGTATAATAGTGAGTTGACAACCTATTGAGCAAAAGACATAGAAATAATTATGTTTTGACTTTCTTAGAAAATATGAAATTCTCGCTTTAAATCGGATAATAATTGTGACCTGTAGCGGGATCAGGGGCTATAATTCAGGAAGTTATGATCCGATAGGTGCGAATGTCGGAAGGACCCAAGATCTTTTGACTAAAAACATGCATATCAAGTTTCATCAAAATCGAGTGAAAATTGTGACCTCTAGAGAGTCCACAACCTTGATATACCATATTTCTTTTACACTATTAGCGGACGAGGGGCGGCCATTTTGTCCGGCAGTTTTGGTGCGATTTTCACGAAATCCGAACTCAACCATCATTAGGGTGTAACGGTGATATATTCAAACAGTTTTTTTTAAACCGGAATAACATTGTGAACTCCATAGGGTCCAAAAATTAGAAAACGTGATTTTTCGTACAATCAGGGGCCATAATTCAGGAAGTTATGGTCTGTTATGCGCGAATATCGACAGGATCGTTTGGTTATAAACTTACATTCAAATTTCAACAACATTAGATAAAAATTGTGACTCCTATTGGGTCCACAAGGTAAAAATGCGATTTGTCGTACATCAGGGGGCATATTCAATGAAGTTACGGTCCGATACATGCTAATATCGACAGGAATTGAGTTCTTAGGGAGATAACACTATATTTCAATCTCGTTGAAATCGGATAAAAATTGTGACCTGTAGAGTGTCCACAAAAAATTGTGGGCGGACGGACAGGGGCGGCGAAAATCTACGTCCACATGAAAATGTGGGCGTATAAAAAGCATCTAAAACAGTAGATGTAGTTAAGTGCTTCATGGTTTGTCAATACGTAACCATCTTGATTTTGGATCCCAAATATCAAGATATGACTGGATTTGTTGACATTGGTGCCGGAAGCCTTGAAAATGTTGAAGAAGCCACCTTCTATAGAAGCTTTATACGAAGTCAATGTATCTGTTGTAGTTTTAGTGATGGTTGGACATAGCACAAATCAGAGAATGGTATCTCTCCTAGAAGTCAACAATATTGTTACAATGTAATAATTCAAGCGTTATTCATGCGTGTTTTGATGCATGTCATCTTCTAAAATACAGGGAATTTAATACCACATTTGGCAAGACATTGTTAACTTACGAGAATTACAGTACAGGTCAGAGAAGGACTTCATGCTGCAAATAAGTTGACTATCAGGCACATTAAAATTTGAAATGCAGAAAATGAATGTTTGCTTAGCAGTGTAAACACTAAATGCTCCAGTTGCCTGTGCATTGTCTTATTTGTTGCTATAGTTGACCACTTATTTGATATTTTCAACAGTCGATCACCCATTGCTATCAGACCTGATAATTTTAATAGAATTAAGTATTTCCTTCTGTAGGTCAAGTATGTTTTTATTATCATGACCGATGTGTCAAAGAAAGAATTTGTGATGGAAAAAGAAAGCAGTGTGTTATTGGCTTTCTTTGTATTATAACAAGTCTCTTGAACCAAAGCGAAAAATTGTTACCGACACCTGTTCGCAGGTACCTGCTCACTTACAAGCCCTCACTTGGAAACTTTGTTTTCAGCTATACAGTGTCGTGGCTGGAACAATAATCCTTCCGCAGCAGGTACCTGCTCACTTACAAACACTCACTTGGAAACTTTGTTTTCAGCTATACAATGTGGTGGCTGGAACAATAATGATTCCGCTCCGCAGTTCAGGACAGCATATAGGTCACGGCTTAGCCATGCTGGAGTTATGTTCCTGAAAGTGGAAATTGCTAACCTCGAGACAAAACGTCCCTTCTAAAAATTGTAAATTGTGACGACGATGACAGCTTAAAACTCAAAATTACTTTTGATAAAGCATTGTGGGAGTTTTAGAATATGTTGATGGTTGGGTTGTTCCCAAAGTTACATCAAAGCTCCCCTGTGTTGATTGCCCACTCCAAGTGAGGAAAGTAATATATGTTGATGAAGATGGTGTAAATTTCTTTCAAAATGTCAAAGCGAAGTTTCTTTAAATGTCCTGAACCTTTTCTTCCCCTGCCTTTGATTATTTTATCGAGTTCAACATTATGTAGGGAAAAATTTCGCTGCACGGTCTCTTGCCAGACACCCCTCTTCCCCAGAACTTTCTCGACCAACACGGGAATTAACCAACCAGGAAACTTCTTTTTGATTGGTTCGCGAGTTCCATACACATCCATGAACCATGTCTCCCTTTGGGTTTAAATACAAATAAAAATATAGTACCACTTAATTTAATAAGTATCCACAATAAATTTTCTTTACATAATAAACGTAACGTATTACAAACCCCAATCGGCAGAAAATAATTTCGGGACTAACACATGATTTAGTTTTATTTTAATAATTCGCTTGCGTGTAGGGGTCTGTAGCAGTCAGAGGAAACCGAAAAAAAAATACAACGAGTTTGGACAGGTGGCCCTATACCCCTTGTCACATACTAGCGGTGATGGAAACTACTGCACTTGACACAGACCGTATGATCTAATGCCCACGCCACCCAAATCCCCTCAGTCAAGCAATTATAAGAATTATTATACGTTTTACTGTATAATAAACACTGCCATAATATTTGGTCTCAATTGTGAAATCCATATACAGTGCGTTCAGGTCGGTTTTTATGCTCTCACTGCACTGCGACCATTTGCGTTCCCAGTTCGATCATCGTGTGCGCTCTCAATGTGTCACTACAGTGCTCTTTGAGCCCTCAGTTTTATCAAAGTCGCTGCGCTATCACCCTGCTCTCAATATGTTTGCAATTCATTCATTGCGCATGGCATGCGTTATTCTGAGCTTGTTTTGTGCGCTTCTCCTACCCTTGAACGTTTCCTGTACGTCACCAATTCGTTCTCCGAAACCTTACCGTGCTTTCGTCGCCCTTTCATACTTTTCAGGTCATTGCGGGAGGATGTAACAGGGGTTTAAGTAAAGGTACAATAATAGTACAGGGATGTATAACACTGTATTATATAAGCAATTCATATAAGTTTCTAAATACATTTAAAAGAAAAAAAAAGCAACCACAGTCAACATTCAACAAGTTTGAGCAAATTTATGCTTTGTGAATCCAGGATAGTTTTTAATAAGTAATGAAAGCGATTTTGCACCCCACTCAACTCAACAGTGGGCGGAAACAAGAAAAAATCGTCCAGGTTAAGTTGCTTGCAAAGTAAAAGCGTAATTCCGCGACGATAATTAAAATTACGACACAAGATATATAACCATACTAGTGGATGCAACAATCACTAATGTAAAAAAGATTTTAAACAAAGTTCGGTCTATTTTATCAACAAGACCTTCACAAGACTCTTTTCTAGATGGATCGTTTCCGACTGAATTGTGTTTACTGATCCAAAAAAACAGAAGCCGAGGTACGTGACAGGAATTGAATAACCGTACATGGAGGACACACAAAAAAGTAAAAATACCACTTACTACTTGCGTAGAAACAACAAAAATAGAAACAATTGAGATTGACGTTGAAGTTCGTGGCAAAACATTGCTGATGACGCTGAGAAAAACAGAATACGACAGCAGTATAGTGACCGCGGTAGATACCTTTTCACCTGATCCTGGTGGAATGAGAAACACAACAGGATTAATCACAGCTGTAGCAATCATTGGGATCAAAACATAAATAACGTAAAAAGCGGGACGGCGTTTAACCATAAAGTCCACCTGGAGAAAGGCAATGTTAGATATTTCCAGTTTTCTTGTTTCTGCTGACGTTATATGCCACTGACCGCTACCCATTTCTCTAGCACTCATAGATGTATTTTTAAAATAGACATCTGCTTTTAAAGTATTTTCAGCAAATAAGAAAAACGTACAGTTTTGTTCATCGAAGGGAAATTTCGAGATTGTTAAAAGGCAACGAAATGTAATATCAGTCAACAATAAAACTTCCAAACTGCCATCAGATGATAATGTGACGTGTGTATCATCCGTGGCTATCTTAGGATCCCCAACAACAAAGTGTACACTCATATCTGGATACCACACATCGGACAATCGTAGATTAAGCTTGGATAACCCACCATAGTTTGAACTGTTCCACGTCAGTAACGAATCCTTCCATTGCATCGTCAACCACAAATCTAACTTGGCGGTCTGTGATTCTTCGTAAATTTCCACAATGCTACCATACGCTACATCTGCAGACAATTCTATCGGCGTATTAGTATATAGCACTGGTCGTAGACGACGATCATATCTACTGGAGTTAAAGAGGTCATTTAGAAGGTTTAACTGGTCGTTATAATGTGCTCCTCCAGTCAGATTCGAAGACCAACTTAACAACAGTAACGTACTTCCAATCCACAAATTCATGTTGCTTTTCAGTTAGTTTCCATCATATCTTCAGAACAATTCTCAGTTATTTCTCACTATATAAATTAAGTTAAGTTCACGCCATTTTGTCACCATCGCAGTGGTGTATTGTAAATATATAAAGCTTAACTGAGAGATTATATGTTTTAAAGGTGATGTCTAAACAATTCATACCGTGGTCAGTTAAACTCGTTTCCTTACAGTCCAATGTATCGTGATCCATCCTAGTACAACGTTCTCGAACCCTGATATAGCATGCGATATCAATTGATAATGGTTTGGTGAGTCTATTGATTAATAATATTAAGTATTTTTCATACTAATGTAGTAATAGATCCCGGAATTAAAACACTAAAACGATGACGTGCATGAATAGACAAATGTAAATACTTACAATGATTTAATAGCTCGTTTTGTCGGGAACTAATGGTATCATTTAATCTTGTGTATTTAGTAATAATTTCTTTTCCTTTCATTCAATATCAAATGTTTGTTTAAAGGGACTATCCCGAATTGAACAAGGTCTCAAAATTAAAAGTCCGAGTACGTATGAAAGTTAAGCGCCAAAATATAAAGAAATGGTGTATTTACCCTGTCTCAAAATGTCAGCTCAAAATATTGAGTCATTTGGGCGTGAACGTCAAAACTGCTTATCCGGACACGTAACCCTTTTAAGATTTTGGGTCAGTTCTTTCGTTGGGTGACCTGATAATCGATTCCCGTTTCTTTAGAGGTTTACACAGTGAATGACCCATGTGTTGTACTTGATAACGAAAGGTAAATTTCACCTACACATTATTTTTATAAATAAAAGGCTGATCTTATCCAGACACCGCATAATACAGCTTTGGGCACCGATCCCCACTTCCAGATTAAGACTGACGGGTTTAAGTTGTTTGAAAACGTATCAAATATATTGAATTAGTTACTCGGCCCTAAGGTAGAGGATTTTAAGTGGTTTTAACACAAAATTAACCAGTTTTATTCTCCAAAATATTATCGGGATTGGCCCTTTAACATCATCTAATTTGTACTTGTGTCCAGTTTAAAGCTGACCATTCAATTTTAATGAGTGTTCAATTTACAAGCGTTTAATTTTTCGATCACTGTTAAATGATTATTGATGTATACTCTTCAAAAAAAGTAGGGGATATTGAAATGCAAATACCTGCATGGTTGTAATATGATAAATAGTCTTGGACACTTGACATGCTTTGAGAGTACGTTCACAAATGAATAACTTATCGCCCCAACAGAACCAATGAACTGCACATACGACACGCAATAGCACCATACACATGGGAGAGGTTCATTGTCAAATTTGACACTTCAAGGAAGGGTTGATGAAAACTGCCACGTGCTGGTTTATCCTATCCATGTTTGCTTTCCTATCGGTTCTTGCATAAGATTTACTGTTTAGCGTATCTTTGCTTTAGTTTGTTACGTTTAATTTGCAATGAGACGTCGTCTACATGATGAACGTCGACGTACTATTGGCATGCTTCAAATGGGTTCTACACAGCGAACAGTAGCCAGCATGCTTAATGTGTCACAGCGTGTGATCAGTAGACTGTGGAACCGATACCAGCAAACGCACAATGTCGATGATAGACCTCGTTCAGGCCGTCCAAAGAGCCACTGCACAAGCCAAGGATCGATACATTCGTACACATGTCCTGAAAATCGAGGACAAACGGTCAATCAGCTTTCTGTAAACTTACACCCCAGACGATTAGAAATCGATTACATGCAGGAAATTTGAAAAAGGGACGACCGCGTGTTGTGCCTTCATTAACTCGCCAGCACATGGCAAACAGGCGTCAATGGTGTAGGCAGCGTAGAAATTGGGGTAATCGTCGATGGGCGCGTGTAATGTTCTCAGATGAGTCCAGATTTACTCTGGAGTTCACAGATAGGCGTGCTCGCGTTTGAAGGCGTGTAAATGAGCGTCAGACAGCATGACATATTTGGGCGTGGGTATGTTATGGTGTAGGGAGGAATCACCATGACTGGCAGAACGGACTTGCATATTGTTCAAGGAAGGGTCACTGGTGTGTACTACCTGCTCAACGTGCAGGACGACGTTTCATCTTACAAGATGATAATGTCCGTGCCCACCTCGTTCGTTCATGAATGACTACTTCCAGCGTCACCATATTGTCCATATGCCTTTGCCAGCCATGGGTCCTGACCTTTACCCTATAAAGCATGTCTGTGACATGATCGGTAGACGTGTTCGTCAACGTCAACCGACAACACTGCAAGAATTGGCCAGGGCACTGCAAGAGGAGCGGGTCAAATTTCCCCAAATCGTGATGGTACGGTTGATTAGGAGCATGCCACGACGAATTGCTGAATGCCTGAGGATTGGTGGAGCAAGTACTCATTATTAAGACAAAAATCAAAAACGTCCATTTTCACTTTTGACAGTGTATCTCTTTGCGAGTGAAATGGGGCCGTCACATAAGCCGCCCATATGAACTGTTTATGTTCATGTTTAGCCAATTGGCCTGTTATTACGATACACTAGTTACCACTAATAAAAACACAGTGCATTTCCGCAGTTTTGTATTGTTTCTGAATATCCCCTACTTTTTTTGAAGAGTATATAATGATTAATTTTTGAACAGTGGCCAGGAAATTCAATACTTGAAAATTCGACACTCATTCTAAAAATATTCAGTTAGCTTTAAATTAGGCAATTTGATATTGAATGAATTTGAAAGGAATTACAGCTAAATACAAAAGATGCAATGCTATCTAGGTTACAGGGGGGTGGGGGGCACCTCTGGCTTGCGGTTGTTTGTGGTTTCAATTCCTGGTGTGAGCGTATGTGGCGCCTTCTGAACCTCGTGTGTTTACTCCGGTTTCCTCCCACAGGAAAGACCCCTGCGCGTGCGCTAAGATAAAATGAAAAACAGTAAGACTTGTCTGCGATTTCACCTTCGGTGGAAGAGGACGTTAAACACTAAGAACAACAACAACAACAGTAAAGGCGTATTCTGTTTAATGTGATTAGTCATCTATGCTGTAAATTATTAATATAAGCTATTGGAATAATCATTACACGTGAACGAAACAAGTGATGAGTAAACCCGCAGCTTGTGGTGATGGAATTACACAAATCAACAGAAATCATATCGACGTTTAGCTAAAGGACGGTAACTTATTAATCACAATTTGAGTCGAACCACACTTCTCCCCTCCATTGATAATCACGTTAAAGCCATGTTATGTACATCACTAAGTCATTGCTCATACCTGGTTTCGAACCCATAATCATTTAGTAAAAAGACCAGTCCAAACCAACCGACTCGACTAACGTGTCCCTAAAGGATTTATTACAATCATCTGACTAATATTTTAAAGGGGGACTGCACATCACAATATTCAAATTAATGAGATTGGATCATGTACAACGCCTTGCAAGTAAGAACCATGTTCTAGTAGAAGACCCAGTTCCCAGATGGTTTGATTTTAACAATCCTAAGCTTTTTAGCTTCAGATATTTCGCAATTTCAATATGAAGAATCACATATTTGAGATACTGGAGTTCCTTTTAACGCAATAAACAATGTCGCCTTCTGCTGGAGAATTTACATACACACACAGCGGATTGGTGATTCTGCCATCGAAAAGTCATGAATTTTGATAAATGTACTATTTAACTCAAATACGGTCGTTCTATTTGTGGACACATCCAATGTTACCATAGTTCCTAGAATGAACAGACCTGGATATCTGGATATAACTGTATCGTCAATTCTATGTTAATTTTTGTGAAAATCAGATTACGGAAAATATCGAGGAATCCCATTTGGTGCTCCTATTCAGTATGACCTAAGCTTAAAAGATAAAAGTATTTACCTGACATCCACATTTATTTCTACTTTAAACTCCTCTCGTTTTTTAGAGCTAAAGCGTTTAAGCTAAATTAAACTGATAGCTGAGATTGGTATACAGTTCAGATTACATATGAAATAACCAATGGCATCAACATAATATATCATAATATAACATAGGACGCGATTAATTCTTATCGTATTGACTAATAACATTTATTATCTCCTCATATTCTACTCAAAATGTAATAATAGTAATTCCAACATAATAAAAGGGCACATTAATTTCTCAGGGGTCATACCGGAAAACACCGGAAAAAAACTAAATACCGGAAAACATCCTAAATACCGGAAAACACCCTAAATAGGTAACCCGGAGCCTGGTCCTCTGTGTGCAGTTTTGGACCAAGTGAGCACCGATGAAGGAAGGTCAAGGTCATTACGATGTTCGTTTTACAAATAGCACCACCCCCCCCCAAAAAAAAAAAAATCCGAATTTTTTTCTCCAAAATTTTGTTGATGCCTATTATCCTTTGAATGTTTTAAAAGACGCAATCAGTCTACCTCCATCATTGACCATATTTTATTTTGTATTTTAATTTTAGTTATATGCCGGTTGCGCCGGTCTCCTGATTCTTACCAGTAACGCTGGCATCAGGGTGGTACGAATTAGTGGAAGGCACGACTAGGCCAACTCCTCCCTAGGTAACAAAAAATCGCATCATAAAACAGCAAGTATCATCAAAAGCGAGTTAATAAATTTCTGAATAGTTCGAGTTGAAGTTCCAGGTTTAACCGCGATGTGTCCTAATCACCAAATGAAATGGATGCCACGCAATTCTCGGACAGGCTGTAATCTGAAAAGTGTCTATCCTTTCCAAGAACTATCCATCTCGTTGGAAGGGCTAAAAATCTACTTGTTTCTGAGCTTACTTTCATTCCAGGGTCAAATATAATCACTTGAACCATAATTTATTCAACATATTCCATCATATTCCGAGGGCCGCACACAGGATTTTTTTCTGGATTACTTTTCGAGCTTTTTTCCCCAACTTGTCTTCCAGTTTTCCTTGAGAAAACCCCAACTTTCGCCCAATTGTCCATGAGAAAACTACATATTCTATCTTACTGCATTGACGGGAAGTGGTAAGCTGGGCGTCTGTGAAAAGGGTTGATCGATATATTTTCAAGGAAGCAATTGTTGTTTTTGCTTGTGAAATAGAGGACTCTAGCCGATGAGGCTACTTTCCCCCCCGAGAACCTCGGGCAATCAATTTGTTTTATGTACTA